TGAAATCTCTATTTTTTTGGGAGGGGATTTTAATTGTAGAGTGGGAGATCTTAATCAATTGGATGAGGAATTGAACTTACCGAATGATAATATTGTAAACTGTCGAGCCAGCTTTGACTCTGTAATAAATAAATAAAAGTTTTTAAACTCATTAGGTGGCAAATCTTTAATAGATCTAATATGGATCAGACTTAGTTCAACGCATTTAGTAAAAAACTTAAAAGTAATAAACTTGATCTCAGGATCGGACCATTTCCCCCTGGCTCTCACATTAGACATGTCCGTAAAATTAAATATTGTTAAAAATAAATTCAAATGGAAGGAAAATACATCGGATGATTATAAAAATAAAATGTCAATTAGCCCTAATGTAACAATTTCAACGGATAATATTGACGACTTAGCTGATAATTTTATAAATACAATAAAGGATGTTTCTGAGAGTTTGAATTTGATTGCGAGAACTAATTCAAGGTTGGGTCATTCCAAGCTATGGTTTGACAAGGAATGTCTTGTAAGTAAAAAGTTATTAAAAAATAAATTAACGGAATGTAGACGGCAAGGTTTTCCCCCAGATAAAACAAAGGACTATAACACGTTTAGAAAAATACATGAAAAGTTAATTAAATCTAAAAAAACGAATTACAATAATCGTATGTTAGAATCGCTATCGGTTTCAAAAGACTCGTCTTCCTTTTGGAATTCACTTAATAGATTTCGTCGAAAGTCTGCTGTATCAAATCCAATTGGTTTAGAATTGTGGGCAGATTTTTTTAGGGACCATTTTCCGATGCGGGATGAAAGCTATTATACGTTGAGAAATCCAGTAATGGGTAATGATTATTTAGATGCGTTTATCTCTGTGGAGGAAGTAGAAATCGCTCTTATAAATACTAAAAATAATAAATCTCCCGGACCCGATGAAATACCATATGAATTCCTAAAAAATTTGCCTGAAAGCTGGATCATTTACTTAAGGGATTTATTTGGTGGAGTAATGACCTCCGAAAAAGTCCCCCAGGCATGGTCTCAATTAAATACAATAATGATATATAAAAAAAGGGGGATAAGTTCGATCATTCAAACTACAGACCCATTGCTCTCCTGAAATGTATATTGAAGGTTTTCACTCAGGTTCTCGCACGAAGACTTAATAAATGGATTGAAAATGAGAAACTCCTCCCAGAATCGCAGGCGGGGTTTAGAGAGAATCGGGGATGTATTGACCATATCTTTACTCTTAACGCGATTATACAAAATCGACTAAGTTTGGAGAGGGGTAAGCTATTTGCTTTATTTGTTGATTTCAAAGGTGCTTTCCCCTCTCTACCACACAATTTACTATGGGAAAAGTTATATAGAATGCGAGTTGGTTCCAAGCTCATTAAAATAATGATGAGTTTATATGCGAGAGCGAGAGTCTCGATAAAAGAGGGTGGGGGCTATCTGAACCGGTGGACGTTACCAAGGGAATTTTACAGGGTGAAACTCTAAGTCCCTCCTTTTTTAACCTGTATATAGCAGACTTGGAAAAATTCTTAATTAATAAAGGTATAAGAGGGGTTTCAATAAATCATCTTACAGAGATATTGTTACTCGCTTATGCTGATGACTTAATAATTATGGCTGACAACATAGTAGATATGAAAAAAACCATAAGATGTCTTTACGAATATGCTTCAGTAAATAAACTCATAATTAATATTAAAAAAACCAATGTGGTAATATTCCAAAAGGGTGGCCATGGTCACAAAAAGAAATATCCGACTCTCTACTTTGGTAATGAGATAATAGAAATAACAAATAAATATGTTTATCTGGGGGTACCCTTTGCCGAATCTGTACGTTTTGCGTCAGCTGTTCAATCAGCCAAAAGCAAGGCTGGTCTGGCTAAGGGTACTACTATTCCTTTATTGTATAGCTTAAATCCAGAATCATGGAATGCAGTGGAAAAATTGTTTGACAGTTTTGTATCTAGTACCTTATTGTATGCGGCGCTTGTTTGGTCACTTCGGTATATGGATGAAATTGAAAAAATCCACACAGGGTTTTATAAGGATGTCCTCAATGTCCCTTCAAATACGCCGAATTATGCAATTCGTATAGAGACGGGTAGTCCGCATTTGGTTGTTCGTGTGTTTAAAATGATTTTAAATTGGTTAGAGAAGATTCTGGATATGGGGCAGGAGAGATATCCTAGAATTTGTTTCGAAAAATTGAGAGATCTATCGGATAGAAAAATGGCAAACGCCAAATATAATTGGGCCCTTCAGGTTAAAAGCTTTTTTATTGACATTGGAGAGGAAGAAATCTGGAATAATCTCTCATCCGATTCTTTAAAAATAAATAAAATCAAGCTAATTAAAAAATTTCAAAACTTTATGTTCAAAAAGGATACCTCGAGACTCCAGATTTCCTCATCTCTTAAGTTATATACACAATTACCACTGTAAGCTGGTCCGCAACCATTTTTACAAACTAAAATATCGCTGTCACTAATTAGAATACTGTCTCAAATAAAACTGTTAAATGAATACAAAACCAGGATTGTAATTAAGGGCAAATCTTACAAGCTTTCAGCAAACTAAACATGTAAATGCGAAGAACAAAGGCCATTGAGTGATGACTTCTATATATTTATTAAATGTAATTCCCTTCAGGAAATTAGAAAGAAAAATATATCTTCTTCAAATGATGAGAATGTTTTTAACCCTCGGAGCACACACCTCTTTTTTTGAAGAAGTAGCACAGTCTGGGTCGCTGTGACCCTGTTTACTTTACAAAACTCCCCCATTTTTGAACTATTGGACTGATCAACACAAAAAAAATATTTTTTTATTCATTGAACCTTGTAAAATAAGAATATGCAGTTTAGAAATATTATTAAATTATTTGCATATTAAAAAAAAATTCGTGAAGTTAACTAATTAAAAAGAAGAAATTGAATTTAAAAAAAAATGTAACTTTTGTAATTGTTAATATTTTAAGCTAAAAATTGTGATTTATATTCTGGAAGTGTGTTAGAATAAGGGAAAAAATACCACTTTATTTTATTTTTTAAAAAAGGTATTTATTTTGTAGTCTAACGAAGGTAACTTTTAAGACGATAAAAATGTGATTTTCGACACAACTTTTTAAAACTATACTTTTTTAATAACATATTTACTAGTATTTTATTATTTTCTTTGGATTATCATGTTACTTATTATTCCTTATTAGTTAGTTACCACTATATGGCCTTAGGTTCGTGTTGTATTGCCGACTTTTCAAATTACACTTCATTGAAATTAATGACAGGGTCTGTGTGACCCAGTATGGCTCCGAGGGTTAAAGAGACTTGGATTAGGCTAATCAGCGAAAGAAACCCGACTTCTATTAGAAGAATTATCAATTTTATCTCAAACATACTAGAAACTTTTTTCTGAATGTTTAACTAATTGACTAACTATATATCTTAATGATGTCTTCACCTATACATTATGTTACAAATAGGTTGAACTTCTTTGTATGGATTCATGGAATCGAAAACAAATAAATATATGTATAATTAAAATGAAGTTTTTACAAGATGGTTTTCGTTTTGGTAAAATAAAAAGTACTTGCATTTTTCAAGAAAAAATTAGTTTAGAAGTAATTTTCATTTTGTACAACATTTAAAAAAATAAAAAACCTTCAAGAAGGTTCTTTATATCAAAGAAATTACACTTTGAATGTATAACAATACACAAATTTCTTTGATTCAAAGAAACTTTTTTCTGGGTGTGCATTGCATGTCTTCCGACAAACCACTATTTTGCGACGTTACGCTACGTCACAATTTGAATTACCTTATTATTACAATGTATTACTAAAATATTACGCGCTGTTTATTGCTTTGTAATCATTAAATTATGTTGTATTAATAAAACAATAGTATAATAATATTTTATGACCATATTATATTCGGTTAATTCATTTTTTTAGTTTTACTAAAAAGGATTACGCATGACGCTGTAGTATGACCTGTTTATAATAGGAAAAAATCATTAGCAACCGTTGTTAAGCAAAAAAATCTTTACCAACCGTTGCTAGGCAAAAAATGTTCTTATCAACCGGTGCTAGGCAAACAAATTTCCTTAGCAACCATGAGCCAAAAGTTTTTAACGTTTAAATGAAAATTAAATTTTTTTTTTTTTTGCAATTTATTTAAGTACAAATTTTATTACAAAATATTGTTTTAAATATCTAACAGGATGTTATTAATTTAATAATTGTTTAATTTACTGTTTTATTTTAAATTGACATTATAATTTTTAATAATTTATAGTAACAGATTGATCTAAAAAATATCAATTTGATATGTTTGGTATCAATTTTAAACTTTTAAATTATAGTGTTCAAAACAATTAAGATTTTACTTTTTAATATATGGAAATGAGGTAATCATCCCAAAATTTTTGAAAACTTGGGCCAATAATGAACCAAGAAAAAACCATTAGCTTCTAATGTTGGCCCATTAATATGTCAATAGTAAGCATTGGCATATTCCCACTGGGTTATTTTAATGTTTTCAATGTACTTTATAAGACATTAATTTAACTAACGAAATGTAAAATTCCCAGGTTATTCTTAACTAAATAACAATGAGTGATTGTTATGTAGTTAATTTGAAGAGTCATTTTTTGCAAATGTGATTCACATTTGCATAAAATTACTCAAATAAATGTATAAAAAAATGCAATACCTCCAAGCAAATGTATCTTCGCAAAAAGTTTAATTACTTCTTTATTTCTGAAAAAATTTCATTTATTTTTGACCATAAATTTAAAAGTTGTATAATTTTAAAGAAAAATTTTGTTCAGAACTTTTGGGTCATCCGCATACCCGGTTTTGACCCACTCTCCCCTAAGTATCTTTTGATAGGCTATAATTTTAATAAAATATTACATCTTTCCTTTAAGGTTTCGAAGATATTGAGAAGGAAATTGAATGGAATTTTGATTAATGAGGTTAAAGTTTATATGAATGAAAATGTGAATGTAGTATTACCGGGGAAACAGAAATTTGTTGAAAATGAAGATACTGAAAATAATGAAAATAGTTACAATCAGAGTACTTCAAAGAGTGTTAGAGACATGAAATTGGTAGCATATGATGACAGTGAGAATCAAAGAAATGAGTATAAAGTGGATAATAGTGAAGTTAAAGAAAGTGGGATGCAAGTAAAGAAGGACGAAAGTATTATAATGTCGGAGGTAATTGGAACGCAGTCTATTGAAGAAGAAAAAATTGAACAAAGTAAAGTGCAAAGTATAAGACAAGATGGTTTGAAAGTAATAAATAAATTTAACTTTATTAATGCGTCTTTTAATCAAGTGAATAGAAAGAGTAAGCAAAATATGGTCAGTAGTGATAAAAAAGTAAGAAAACGGAAAAGAAGTCATAAAAACAATGTGGATGAACTGAATGAGTTACAAATTTGTGATGAAAAAGATAATATAATAAAAAGAAATTTAATGGAGAGTGACGAAGGTATGGAAGTTTTATATAGTGCCAAGTATGATAAAAGTATTGAAAAATGTACGGTAAGATTAGTTGGAAAGGATAATAATATAGTGTTAAATGAAAGTGACATCATAGGAGAGATGAAAGAAAGGTGGGAAAATGAAGTGTTAACAAATGGAAGCAAAGACAATAATACGAGTGAAGTACAATGTAATTCAAAAGAAAGTAGTGTTTCTATTGAAAATAATAAAGTGCAAAGTACAGAAATATTGGTTGAAAACAAGAACAACAATTTAAATGAAGAAAATATCCAATGTAAAAAATCCTTGAATATGAAAAACAAGTTGGATTTACAGAAAAAAAATATAGAAATAACGGGGGAAAAATTCAACATTGTTGACGTAAGACCGGATGGAAATTGCCTTTTCAGATGTTTCTCTAAATTTTTAAATTCAAAAACAAATAATTTGGAAGGGTCTGAAAACAAACAGTTGGACATTCGAAAGAAAATTGTTAAATATGTCGTACGTAATTGGGAAAATTTCGCTGATAAAGATAATTACAAAAATGTTGAAGAATATGAGAAGTATATGGGAAGATCTGCAACTTATGGTATAGATTCAGAAATAGCAATTTTTTCCAAATTGTACTCAGTCATTGTGGAATTGTGCACGGTTAAGTCTGAAGCTACCAGTCTGAAAAAAACAGAAATTTTAGAAAGCGATTTGATTGATGGATTTATATTTGAGTGTTATGAAAGTGAAGTACGTGAAGAAAAAAAATGAAACTTTTATTTGTAGGAGACTTCAAGGGTGGACATTTTCAACTTTTATCCCAACAGGTGAATGATACGAAATTAAAATTTTCTCTAAAAAAAAGAGAACTATCAAAGAAAAAAATTGACAATTACAATATTGATGAAAAGCAAACAAAAAAATTCGAAAAAACAGACAGTAGCACAGTTATAGAAAGACAAAATTCAGATTTTAATGTGAACGATTGGAATGAAGAAATTAATTCTAATAATAGCAAAGTACAACGGCTAATGTCAGACGATGTTTCACCTGAAGAAGTGATTTCTTGCGAGTTACATAGTGATACTACGTGTCCAGAAATTGCAAAACAGAAGCAAAAAAAATGTAAGAAATCATTCCTGTAAAAAAAAGATTCAAAAACTCTTTTTAGATGTTTAGCATTTTTAGAATATAGTGATGAGAAATTATATGAAAAAATTGAAGAAGAACTTTTCAATTACGGTAAGGATAATTGGGACACTATTGAGCAATGTTATTCTGATGTTGAAAAAAGTGAAAGTTATGCGAATTATAGTAGAAGAAAGTGGAATAGTGTTGATAGAGGGAAAATTGAAATGTCTATTTTTGCAAATTTATATGAGGCAAACGTTGTTCTATGTAGTGTGCGCGATTCAAACATTGTTAGAAATGAAAACGATAAAGTTATACACTCAGATGAAGTTTCGAAACATATTTTTCATCCATCCGAGGAAGACGTAAGTAAGTAGTAGTAAAGTAGAAGAATGTAGGATTTTATCTAATGGATTAATATTTAATACGAATTATTATACACTGTCACATGCGAGTTCTGTTAAAATAGGAATTTATCGAGCAAATAGAGAAATTTCCTTATTACATCATCAATTTCAATTGACTGCGCATGAATTCAGTGAAATTCTTCCAGAGGCATCTTGGCTCAATTCTGTAGTAATAAACTGTTATTGTGCAACACATATAAACAATTGGAATGATGTTTCTTATATGCCATTAGATATATCTGGTAAAGCAGTTGGGCATTACTCAGAGAGTAGATCAACTAGTTCGTCTTCTGAAATATTGAATATTCGCACACCACTTAAAACGAAGCTTCTAATTCCATATTGTTATGCCGGTCATTATTCGATGATAATAATTAATAAAAAAGAAAGAAGTTTTGCACACTTGGATCCCTAACAGAAATCCTACGATACTGAACGAGTGTATGAAGCTTTCTTGAAATATATAGATAGAGTAAAGGAATCAAGCAGCCTATATGAATTAAAAGGAATTACTTGGAGAAGACAAGAAATTGTAGATAGACCATATCAAGAAGAAAATGATAACAGCAATTGCGGGCCATTTGTTTCACATTATGCAGAATGTATAGGAAAAAATATTGAATTTGATATAAACTTTGATCCAGTGCAGTATAGAATTAAAATAGCTCACACATTATTATTGCAATCAGAAGACGTAAAAATTTATTGTATGTATTGTTTTGGATAACACAAAAAAGCAGGTGCAAAAAAAATATGCAAATTATGTAGACGTTGGACACACATGACATGTATTATAAGCAATAAAGATACAAGTGATGAAGAAAGTTATCGATATTCAAAACCTTTAAAAAACAAGAAGCAGAAAAAAACAACGAAAGACATAAAGAAACTTTTTAAAAAATATAAAACAAACTCTGAATATTTTACTTGTAAATTATGTAATAGATTCAATTTGAGTAAATGTTGAGTAGACATGTGTAGAAGGTTTACACTTAAAAAAGTCAGGAAATTAACTTTTGTTGAAAAGAAAGAACCAACATTTCTTCTTCGATAAAATCCAGAATATCTGTAATGTAGATTCAGATAAGTCACCTACAATGAAATCATTGTTGGGTAAAACTGACGTCTGAGTGAAACTAACATGAAGCAACAACAATAGGGTAAAACTGTAGTAAAGTAATAGAATGATAGAAGAGAAATAAGGTCAACGTATTGCAAAAGGGAAATAAAGAAAAGTGAAAATAAAGTGTAAGTAAAGTGGTGGTGAGGTGAATGTAACAAATATAGTGAAAATAAAGTGAAAAAAGGTGAATGTAACGTGTTAATAAATTGCAGCAGAATTACAGTGACAGTAGTTGGGATTTGAGTTAAAAAATAATAGTATAGTGAAAGTGAAGTCAACACGTGGTGAAAGTAACTCAAGTGTGGTAGAATTGAAACAAAGTAATCTTATAATGTAGAAGAAATAATGTTCAAATATGGTGAAAATGAAGTGAAAAAAGGTGAAGGTAACGTGTAAATAAAGTGCAAGTTAGTTAAAGTGACAAAAGTGGGTTTGAGTTAAAAAATCATAGTATAGTAGTGAAAGTGAAGTCAACACGTGGTGAAAGTGACTCAAGTGGGGTAGAATTGAAACAAAGTAATCTTATAATGTAAAAGAAATAAGGTTCAAATATGGTGAAAATGAAGTGAAAAAAGGTGAAGGTAACGTGAAAAAAAATTGCAGCAGAATTAAAGTGACAATAGTTGGGATATGAGTTAAAAAATAATAGTATAGTGAAAGTGATGTCAACACGTGGTGAAAGTGACTTAAGTGGGGTGGAATTGAAACAAAGTAATCTTATAATGTAGAAGAAATAAGGTTCAAATATGGTGAAAATGAAGTGAAAAAAGGTGAAGGTAACGTGATAATAAATTGCAGCAGAATTAAAGTGACAATAGTTGTAATTTGAGTTAAAAAATAATAGTATAGTGAAAGTGAAGTCAACACGTGGTGAAAGTGACTCAAGTGGGGTGGAATTGAAACAAAGTAATCTTATAATGTAAAAGAAATAAGGTTCAAATATGGTGAAAATGAAGTGAAAAAAAGTGAAGGTAACGTGAAAATAAATTGCAGCAAAATTACAGTGACAATAGTTGGGATTTGAGTTAAAAATTAATAGTATAGTGAAAGTGAAGTCAACACGTGGTGAAAGTAACTCAAGTGGGGTAGAATTGAAACAAAGTAATCTTATAATGTAGAAGAAATAATGTTCAAATATGGTGAAAATGAAGTGAAAAAAGGTAAAGGTAACGTGAAAAAAAATTGCAGCAGAATTAAAGTGACAATAGTTGGGATTATGTATATATAGTAAAATAGTTCTAAGAATAATTTTAAATACTTTTTAACGTGAATAATTAAAAACGTAAAATTTGAAAATTCGAAAAAAATAGTTCCCATCGTTTTCCCATTATCGGACTAGGCTCAAAATTCGTCAAATTTAGAGCAGTTTTTGTAAAAAAATTTTGAAAAAAATCGATCGATACACACAGGTTCAAAAATGAATTTTTAGTCTTAAATCTCAAAAATCTAATAGAAATTTTTTTCGAAAATAACTTTCAATATTTTTTTTGGAAAGTACGTTTAAAAACAAAAATTTTGATATAAGATTGATCCAATTTGGTCAATTTTTAGCGAAATTACAAGCATTTCAAAAAAAAGTGACGTAATTTTTCAAAAATTGATATCTCCTAAAGGGCTTGATGAAAAAATTTGAAAAAAATCATGAAAGCTAATCTTCATGAGTACTAAAAGGAAAAAAATTTTCAAAAAGATCTGAGGTGCAAAAGCCAAATGGTCTCCGATTTGGCATGGAATACCTCAAATGTAGCCCTGAAAAAGGCTGATAGAGGACAATGTTAGTTTCTTAAAAGTTGTAACAAATGTAGCCCTGAAAAGGGCTGATAGAGGATAATGTTAGTTTCTTAAAAGTTGTAACAAATGTAGCCCTGAAAAAGGCTGATAGAGGATAATGTTAGTTTCTTAAAAGTTGTAACAAATGTAGCACTGAAAAGGGCTAATTTAAATGATTACTAAATGAGTAATCATTTCATATTTAGTCCTAAGAAGGACTGTTGAGTCATTAATTATTGTGACCGAAACAACAGACTGTAACATCTGTTAAAAATTAATAAAAAAATGATTTTACAATTTTCAATTACACACGGAGAGAAAAATCAAGCGTTTGTAGTATGGGAGCCCTGTATGTTAATTTTGTATGTACGTTTCTGCTTAAGAGGAGTGGTATTATACTACAATTTGTAAAAAAAATTGTACCTCAAAAGCATGGAATTCTTGCAATCGTAGTATGCTGATGTCCCATGCGTTTAAAGGTAGAACATACATGCTCATATCGTACAAATTTATTCAAATACAGCACAAATTATATGAATAAGGCGCATGTAAATTCTTTTGCGAAATAAGGATGACTGTTCATACTTCAAACGTTTGATTTTTCTCTCCGTGCAATTACTATTTTTTTGCACGCAAGCTGCAATTTCTAATTCATAAATCCTGTGGAATAATTCAAGATACCACGCAAATAGTTATGATATTTCCAATGGGCCGAATTTTAACTCCTGGATTTCTAGCGATTTTCTGATTTTCACCACTATAGGGGTGGCAAATAGGGATGGGACCGAGAGTTCTCAACTATTGGGTTTGGAGGGGGAAGGAAAAAGAACATTTTTTGCCTACTTTTTTCCGAAAAAAATTACAATCTACGACCCGTTTTTGGCGATTTTCTGATTTTCACCACTATAGGGGTGGCAAATAGGAGTGAGACCGAGAGTTCTCAACTATTGGGTTTGGAGGGGGAAGGAAAAAGAAAATTTTTTGCCTACTATTTTCCCAAAAAAATTACAATCTACGACCCGTTTTTGGCGATTTTCTGATTTTCACCACTATAGGGGTGGCAAATAGGGGTGAGACCGAGAGTTCTCAACTATTGGGTTTTGAGGGGGAAGGAAATGAAAAATTTTTGCCTACTTTTTTCCCAATAAAATTACAATCTACGACTCGATTTTGTTCTTTTAATTCTGTGAACAACACTAATTTGAAGTTAGGGGATGTTTTGCACCCTCAATTATTAAATTTTTAGTTTTTTATGTTGAATATTGTTGGGTTTTGGTTTTCTGTGAACCATTAGCAAGAAAAATTTTTTTTTTGTCAAAATTTTTTTTCGCGCGAACGCG